ACACTGTGAAGCTCAGAGCTGGACACTACACCAGGTGTGGCTTGAACAGTGCTGAGTGAAGGCTGTGAAGGACCACCTTGACCTGCTGACAGCATTCTTCCTAATGCATCCCAGGATGCTGTTGGCCTTCTTTGCAGCACACAGCTGGCTCATGTTCTGCTTGATGTCCATCAGGACCTCCAGAGCCTCTTCTGTCAAGCTGCTTTCCGGTTGGATGCCCCTAAGCATATTTTGGTGTCTGGGGTTGTTCCTCCCTCCCCAGATGCAGAAATTTGCACTGTTCCTTGTGAACTGCATGAAGTCCATGTCAGCACATTTCTCCAGCCTGCTAAGGTACCCCTGGATGGCAGCATAGCCCTTTGGCATATCAGCTACTTACCCCTCTTTTGTGTCATAAATAAACTTTGTGAGGGTTTGTTCTGCCTATCATCCAGATTATTAATGAAGTTGTTAAACAGGAATGAACCTGGTATTGACCCCTGGGCTACATCACTGGTCACTGACCTCACCTTTTGGGCTTGGTCAGTCAGCTTTTGATCCAGCTCACCGTTTGCCTAGCCAGCCTGTACATCAACAGTTTGTCAATGAGAGTCTTATGGGATACAGTGTGAAAGGCCTTACTGAAGTCCTGGTAGACAATGCCCCTTGCTCTTTCCTTATCTATCTTCACCAGAGAAGGTTCCCAGTTGGTTGACTGTTTCTGATGATTTTCTTGTCATTTATGTACCTGAAGAATGGTTTCCAGGATTAGCTGCTCCATCACCTTCCCTGGGATCAAGCTGAGGCTGATCAGCCTGTACTTCTCTGGGTCTTCCTTCTTGAAGATAGGAGTGACATTTGCTTTCCTCTAGTCTTCAGGCATTTCTCCCACCCATCACGATTGATCAAAGATGGTCAGGAGTGCCTGTGCAATGTGGTGCCCCTTCCACCAAGGGCAAGAGTACAGCTTCCTTGCTCCAGACTGGTCTCAGGGAGTTGGACTTTGTGCAGAGTGGTCTTGTTAATAAAGACTGTGAAAAGGTGATATTCAGTATTGCAGACTTCTTATCTGTGTGTCTTTCTCACTGAGCAATGGGTTCACGTTATCCTGAGTTTTCTTCTTATCACCTTTGTACTTATGGAAATGCTTCTTGTTGTCTTTGACATCCCTGGCCAGACTCAGTTCCATTTGGGCTTTAGCTTTCCTAACTGCATCCCTGGATGCTCAGGTATTTTTTCTGTATTCCTCCCACATTCCCTGAGATTACTTCCTCCCACTGAATTATTTTTGTGTTTGGTTTTTTTCACAGGAGGTCCTTGTTCATCTATGCAGGCCTCCTGGCATATTACCTGTTTTCATAGTTGTTGACATGGATCTCTTGTAAGCTTAAAGGATATTGTCCCTGAAAATTACCCAGCTTTCTTGCCCCTATCTTCACTTGAAGGCTTTATCCCATGGGACCCCACCACACAGATATTTGAAGAGGCCAAAGTCTGCTCTCTTGAAGTCCAGGGTTGTGAGCTTTCTTTTGTGTCTTCCTGCCCCATGGATCCTGAACTTCACCATCTCATGATCTCTGCAGCCAAGGCTGCCTTTGATCTTCATATCCCCAGTGAATCCCTCCTCCTTGGTAAGTATGAGGCTCTGCAGATTACTTCCTCTCAGTGACTCTGGCACTTGTGGCAGGAAGTTGCCATCAGGGCACACCAGGATCCTTCTAGAGTTTTATCTGGCTGCCTTCTGCTGTCAGTCATCCCCCACCGCACTGGAAGAAAAGCTGTGTTTCTGTTGCTGTTTTGGCCTGTGAGGGTTTAATACTTTGTTGCTGTTGCTGCTGGCTGGTGTGACACCTCAACTGCACTCTTTGTCACAGCTCTTTGCCAACCAACCTGTTCCAGTAGATGAGATTTGTTTTTAGGACTAAATTAATATCTTTGATTTTTGCCTAATGTTTTAGCTTCTGATGTAATTAATTGGCTGCTCAAGCATCTGCTGCTACCTAAGCAGCTACTGAATGATGGTGGAATAAACTGAGGAGATCTGAACTCCTTGTAACTGTGATTGTGCTGCAGAGCCAGGCAGTGGGAAAAAGACTGCCCAGAAAGGACAATGTTTCATTCCTCATGAATTCCTGTGTTATTTGTGTAAAGTTGGATAGTGTGTTGACAAGCAGCTCAGCAAGAAAAAGGAGGTAGACTCCAAGAATTACTTGATAAAAACATGACAAGGTTGGATCTTCCTGGCAGCAAGAGCAGCTCTTGCATACTTAAGCCAAGGTGGCAGCAGGCTTTACCTGGTTGGGTTTTTTCAATTATGTCTTTTCATGATGTCTATTTTGAGACAAATGCCTTTTCTAACTTTCACAAAGGTCTTGTGTGTTTGTTCAAATTTTCTACTCTGTGTCAGAAGGGGTAAGTACTTCACTAAAGGGAAGATGTAGGTGCTTTTGCAGAAAATCTTATTTTTCCAAGGTTTATGTCTACATTATCTGGACTGCAGTAACATTTCCCATAAAAATTGAGAACATTTACATGGCCTCTTGGTTTTATTGTGGACTTGTTTGAAAATTCTTACTCTCCATTCTTTACTATATCAGGTTCCTAAGACTTTTGCCCTTTTTATTGTTTCCTCCATTTCACTCCAGGGGAGTGAGCAAGCAACTCAGTGGGGACTTAGCTGTTGGCCACATTAACCTACCACACCTGGTTTATGTGAATTATCCTTCTATAAACCTGCTGAAAGCTCTATAAACCTGCAGAGTTAAACATTCAAGTGACTTTAGCTTTTGGTATCACATTAAAAAGAAGAATAAAGCACACAGTCTTCCAGAGATTAGCTCTGAAACCAGTATTTACTAACAGATTTCTATTAAAAAACCCGCTTTATTTTAATGTTGAAATAGGAAAATATTGATGAGAAGAGCTGTACCTATGGGATCTGTACCTATGTATCTAACTTACTTGGGGGAAAAGATGATACCAATTTAAAATATATTAAAGTTTGTAGAAAGAAATGTTTTGTTATTTAAGAATTTTTGTTCCTATTTGAAAGGCAAATATACCCATGGTTTTACTTTCAGGAAAACCTTGAATTTTGAAATTGTTTGTTTGAAGGTAAATAATTGTTCTTGGAGGAACAAATCAAAATGCCTTTATTTTGATTCCAAAAGGAGGAGGTTTCTTGAGTAGGTAACTTCATTTATGAATTCATGAATTGTACAGATTCCTTGAAATGCTTAGTAGGGACACCCTAAAACTCCCAGTATCTGAATGGAAAACTACAAATGGAATGAAACAATTGGAACCACAGTGTGTTACTTTACATGAATCGGGTTAAAATTTTGAGAAGTTTTTGTGTAAATTTTGTGTAAGGAAATCTGAATATTATCTGTTGTCTTGAATCCTGGTAAGAATCTTTCTTCTGGGATTTCCTACTTGTTGTCAGGCCAAGGTTGTAGCTTTTTTTTGTTTTTTGCTTCTGTTCTGGTGGCCAGAAAGTGTTGAGACTACTTCAGGATTGTAGCAGCTGAGTAACTTTTACACTCATGTAAACTCTTGTTAACTCATGCAGTTAGTCATGCTGGCCAAGGGTTTGAGAATTACATGCCATGCATGGCACCTGGCATGTTCAGAGCCTCTCTTTTAGCTGTCAACATTCCTTGTTTTAATAAGGAGTTCTTTGAAAGCAAGGACAGCCCCCTCAGTCATTAATTTAAAAATTAAGACATTATTGTAGGACTTAGGAATATTTTTCCTTGAAAGATTAAGCTGTTTTTTTATCTCTGTGGGTGTTGGTAGTATTGTTTGCTAATGTGGTGGAATTAACCACTGTGTTTTCCTCTGGAAATGCCCCCAGTCCCTCATACACAGCTCTCTGTAGCTCTGGACTCGCTGTGCTGGGCTATAAGAAATTATTGGTTGATCTGGAGTTACTCGTGTCATGCCACTGGTGCTGAGTCATCTGATGGAGTTCCTGACATAATTTTCTAATAATCTCTTTAATAATTCCTGAGATAATTTTCTTTAATCTCTTTACTTATTTTTCATCCCTGGTATGTTAGTCCTTGCCCCCAAAGATGCAGAGCATTTTTTTGTTGTTTGAGTGGTTACGAGTTACAGGGAGCCAAATATTCCCCAGACAACTGAGTGCTTAATGTAGGTGAAGTGACAGATGATCCCTTTGACCCTCTTTGCTACCTTCTGTAAGGGACATTTGTCCTTCCCTTTGCAGTATTTTTTTAGCTCTTTGAGTCCTGAGTAGGCATTTGCTCACTCAGATATAAATGCAGCTTCATTTCTACCTTACTAACTTGTATTGAATACAGAGAAATGTCTTCAGATCATATTTGGGGCTTTGGGTGCAAGACTGAGACAGAGAAATATTTCATGCTGTTGTTAGTGAGTCACTTAATTACTCAGAATGTTGATTTACTCACTCTTGATGTCTATAATAAATATTTCATGTATAATTATAAAACATTAATACTTTGAGATTGGCAGAGATTTGTAACAGTTGTATAACAAAGCAGCTGTTTGGAGTGAATGAATAAACAGTACATTTTGACTGGAAGTTGTGTTAACTAGCGAGTAAAAAAGGAACCATTATATGGGTCTAAAAGATTTTCTACACTTTTTTTTGTCCTATATTTCAATTATTTTTTGTAGATCTATATATGAGACATGTATCTACATATGAAAATGTTTTATTGGTAAATTAAATTTTCTTGTCACTCTCAGTTGCTTTTTGTTAGTTAAAGAGAAATGAAAGTGTCATATAAAATGTGTATTGATAGTCTGTAGTTTTTGGGTTTGAATAGAGCCATGGTTATGAATCCATTTTATTCTTTTCTATTGTTGCTGTTAGTTTTCACTGTGTGGACCTTCATCTCAAAAAATTATTGTTCACTGACCATGGATTCAGACACAGTAAAAAATGTTGAACACATTGTAGATGTATGTTAGAATAATTTGGAAATGCAATATTTTAATACAAATTCAAAATTGTTTTTTTGTTTTATCAGCAAACACGTATCTCTTTATGGTGCAAGCTCGTGGTATAATGTTGAGAGAAAATGTAAAAACAATAGGACACATGATAAGACTGTACACTAACAAAAATACTACACTGAATGGCACAGGTAAGAATATCTTTAATGTATTTTTTAAAAGACCTCTTTTTTCAATTTTTAAAAAAAGCAAAAAGCCAATCATTAATGACATAGCTCGATTATGAAAACTTAGACCCAAATCCTATTTCTCAGAAATTGGAGTCAAGGTCAAATAGTTACTATTTATCAGTTCACTTCAGTAGGAAATATTTCTATTAGCTATAACAAAGATACTTGTATTTAACCATTATTCCTCTAGAGTAATAAAATGCTTTTAAAATCATGCTGCTATGAATTTGTTAACTAAAAATTAATGCTCTCACCTGCATGATGATGAGTTACAATTTCAGTGGGTAACATAGGTTTTTACAAAAATCAATTCTTCTTTTTAAGATTATCCTGAAGGAAACAATTCTAGTGACTGTGTTGCTCAAACAACAATGTATCTTCCAGAGAACTTCACCTACTCTCCTTACCAGCCTTGTCCAGAGAAACTGCCTTACATGAGTAAGTTTTAAAGTGACCTTAATGTTTATCTGGTAAATTAAATTGTATTTTAAACAAAACACAGTTATTTTAATATAAAATATAATTGTTAGGAGTCTAAATATATAACAGAAATTAATGAATAAAATACATCTAATAATGCACAATGATGCTTAGCAGAAGTTTACCTGTAGCTAATGTGTTACTGAAATTTTGGTCTCTATTAATCACCTTTACTAATTTGAAATAATTGAACTACTGATTTGTAAGAGAGAAAATGTCACATAGTTTCTGAAGTTATTTGTAATGCATTCCAGAATTCTAACCTCTTGTCTTTTAGACACCTGGCTTAATCTGTGGGCTGTCATTCAGCATGAGCAATTAAATAAATATCTAATATAGCAGTTCAGATCCATATCATACCAAAACATGTTGCTGGCAGCTGAACTGAAATCTGAGCAATTTTTCTTCAAAGAAAAAGAGTGGATTTTATTAGGATAATCTAGATTCCATTATAATATGTTTTTGATCTCAACTGAGTTTATCTGTTGAAGAAAACAGGAACAGTGCATGTTACCTGTGTTTCTTCTCAATAATGTCAGATTCTAAGCTTTGTTTTATATTTTAAATATACAGACATGGAGCCAAAAGTGTCGAGCAGTTGCTGTTGCTTATGAAACTAAATCATATAGAAAACTGTCTTAAGCCAGGTAGTAATCAGCCCCATGGTATGAAAATATCCTTATTTCAACCTCTTTTCCTCCAGACGTAGGGTTTGACTTTCAAAATCACCTTTTTGTATATTGTAGAACATCTAAACAAATAAAACCAAATTATTTCAATAGCAAATTGTTAGCTACTTTTGGAAACATAAAAAGTTCAGCAAATGGCAAATCTGGATAATCAGAGAAACAAGATGTGATGTTTTTGCTGATTGAAAAATGTATATAATTAGTATTTTTAATGTCACTTGCAAGGTATCTGGCAGTAGGAATTCTGTCAGATTAGTTCAAAACTAAGTAATTCTACCAGTAATTTCTCTATAGATCTCCTTGTTGCTACTCTGCTTTTACCACCTTTTTTTTGTTGGTGGTGGTTTTTTTGTTAGTAATTGTTCTGTACTTCTTCTATCCTGTTTAATTTAGTAGAGAAATAATTATTTTAATAGAAAATAATTCACTGAATAAGTTGCTTTTCAACCAAGGGATATGGGTTTCCCTTTTTGATTTCTATGTATGATTTTTTAATCATCATCTCTCTTTCTAATTATAATCTAAATAAAACATCTCTGAAGATCTTTTACTTTAATGAAATGTTGTAGGAAGTGTGAGATAGCCAGGCAAAAAAGAGTGTTGAATCGTGTATACTTTGACATGTTTAATTAGTCTAAGGTTATTATAGAAGTCCTCTTCTTTGCATCAGCTTGTCAAATTTATATCATGAAAGGAGCATGGTAAAATCATATTTTTTTTTATTACATAAGTACATAGGCTCTTAAAATAGGAACAGCTATTGCCTTTGTTGCATGACTCAGTAGAACAGGTTATAACCCACTTGTTGGGCAGTGCTGTTGTAATTTGTGAGCAAAACAACTTTTTTTTGATATAGAGCAGTGCAAGAATCTGTCTGTCTGTTCCTTTGGAGATAAACTGATAATCCCAACCTTTCTAGACTGCATAGTTTCTAAAGCTCTTGTCATTCCTGAATTTTTGCACTGTAGACTGTCCTTAATTTGTTTTCTTTCTAAAGTATCATAACTGGCTTAAATCCCAGTTACAAAACAAATTAGTTTTGGAAATTTTTTTTTTTTTCACACAGCAGCAGTTAATACATTCCAGGATGAGATCTTCTGGTTTTGTACAATTACATTGTGGTGGCTCATATTAATGTGCAATCCATTACAAACTGTAAAATTACCTGGCAGCATAGTCAGATATTACTTGTTTTGTTGTGCATGCTTCATTTTTCCTTCAGTAAGAAACCATCCTTTACTATTTTAAATTAACTTTACTTTATTGGTTTCTGTGTGTACCTCATTTGTTGAATTAATTTTTTTTCTGATTTTCTTCTTCAAAATGTTTTTTACTTTCTCAGCTTTCTTATTTTGTGGGTTGTATAAATATGTTTTATTGCAGCCTGCTATACACTGATGGAACTAGTGAATAATAAGAGCAGTTATTTACAGAGATGCTTTCTCCTGCCCCCCACCAGTGACAGAGGAAAAAATGCTGATTTCTATTCACTCATCTCCTGTGTGCTTTTGGTAGTACCAGTACTTCAGGTTTTATTATAGCTTCTTTTTAAACACTCTGGATGGAATTTCATCATGTCCCATGGAGTTAGAAGCACCCTTATCTAAAGGCTTTATCTAAATACTGTTCTACCATTTGATGTTTCTTTCTAATTTAAACTCTGTAGTCATCTGATCACATCTGAACTTTTCTCAGAATACTGAGGTATCTGAATCACATCATGTGCTATTTCCTTCCCTTTCTGGTGTGGTAATTGATCTTTATTTATCTTTATTTTTCTTTCAGATTCTGTATTTGAACTGAAAGGCTCTTGTTTCTTTTCTGTCTCTTGCTAGTAGAAATTGATTTTTAAAAATTTAGTTTTTAGTTTTTAAAATTTTATTTTGTACATGTTTATATACTAGTCCTTTGTTGATTGACCTTGATTCCATATTTCATAAGATCTCTTTTTTGGGTTTTTGAAGAGTTTCAGATGCATTATGATATTCTAAGCTTATTTTTAAATAATTATTTTTATTTTTATTATTTTAAAATTTTTATTTAAATCTCTGTAGGACTAGCTTGTTCTAGTGTCTATCTATACAGGTCTTTTAGCAACTGCCAGATTTCCTTTTTTCCTAAAATAATTAAATTGATATGGGTTTCTTTAAATCTTCTCTTGAAATAGCTCCATAGTGTACTGTTGTTGATAATTTTTCACCTATGATTTTACATTAAAAAAGGTTGCCTTCTTCATATGCAAGTAGTACTATATTTAATCATATCCCAAACTAAAATAGCTCTTGCAGTATCTTCTACGTTCTTCTGAAAATGATAGTTATTCCTAGTTTGTTCCAAAAATTTCAATATTCTCAAAAGATTTACACAACTAGTCAATTTGGTGACACAAATGGTCTATTTGGCACAAAAAGGATCTTTTGTGTATGGACACATGGGAGAAAATGGAGTGATTTTTGGACTGACTTTAAACCAAAATACTTAACTTTGTGGACAAAAATAAGAATAATATTTTATGGTGTTTGCCAGAAAGTTCTTGCAAGATTTTTATGTGATGATTTAGAGTGTAGTAGTTGCTGAAGAAAAACTTGAACTTCTGGTTAATGAGTATTACATTAGTCTTCTCCCCAGATTTCCTTGCTTCTTTCTATTGCTTTTGAGGGTGTTTACTATGAATCATTATTTCCAGTGTTGAACTTTTTACACATGCATAAGCTAATGACTGACAACTTTCAGCTGTCAACTAATGTTAATATTTTCTCATAGTAAGTACTAACCTGATTTATTTTAAATCGTATTGTGGTCTTTATTCAATAACTTAATGAATTTCACTTTCATGCCTTTTGCAAATGCTTTTCCTATTGGGGTCATTAGTTCTACCAATGGTAATTCTCACATCCTGCCCATTGGTATAAATTGCTTTGAAGCAAATATTGGTGAATTAGTGGATGAAGTCTCTACATGAAATGAGCATATAATCTAAAATTTAAATTGAGGAAGTTTGTTGAGGGCAGTGATGATACATTTTCCTTTAATGTGGAAGTGGAGCAGGAAGGCACCCAGAATTTGAGTAAAGGTTCAGTAGTGCAGGTAGTGTAAAATAGTTAACAGTGGTACTTGAAATGAAAGACAACCCAAATTTTCTGTAAGAGATGCAGAATTTAAATTACTTTGCTTGTTCTGTGTCCTTTAAAATGAGTATTTTGTTTATAGGTTTCATGGAAGGAATGTTTGTTTTTGGAAACACTAAAACTTCATTCTGTAAGAATTAAAGATAAGAAGGATAGTATAAATTGTTTCTTTTTTTTCTGTAGGTGATATAACTACAAATTTCTGATGCTATTTGTCCATATTTGATATTCATTGTAGGGTTATGTCAATTATCTTAATTGAAATTAATATATAAGTTTTTTTTCCTTTCTTTAGGAGGCCTTATTGATGTTAATATGAGTGAAATTAGTTTTGATGAAATTCAGCGACTGTTTTCAAAAGATTTAGACATTAAACCAGGAGGACACTGGAAACCAAATGACTGTAAGCCACGGTGGAAGGTTAGACGCTGATTTTCTGTTTTGGTTTATTTTTTCTTGTTGGTATATAAGAATAAATTACCATTGCAAGCACTCAGTCTTTGGTGCTATATATGTAGTATCTTATAGTATTTGTAGTATGCCATCTGTGCTCAAGAAGAAACTCCAGCTAGGAGAAAAATTTGAAATGGATCATCAAGAACTTTTAAAGGTTCATTAGCTGTAATTACTAAACATTTAATCATATGGATGCAAATCTGTCCTATGTGTCTGTTGCTTGAAATATAACTAGAAGCAAGTGAACATAAAAGGAAAACCTTATTTACATTTTACTCAAATTTTTTTTCTTAATTATTTGAGCAAATTTTCAGCACATTTTCTTAGGGGGAACCAACATGTAAAACACTGAGCCAATTTAAATGTAAAAGTTGAAAAGCCATAGGAAACTTGATCTGTATTGAAAAATTAAAATTTTAAAATGCTGATATAATAGATTTTTTTTGTTTTTCTGAAGGTGGCTATCCTTATTCCTTTTCGGAATCGTCACGAGCATCTTCCAATTTTTTTCCGTCATCTGATACCAATGTTGCAGAAGCAGAGGCTGGAATTTGCCTTCTATGTTGTTGAACAGGTAACAGCATCTACTTGAAAAGTGACTTTCAAGATTCCTTACTAAAAGGGGTTTGATATTCTTACCAAGCTTTGGATGAATCCAGAATTTAAAAATTGTTACTCTACTCTTCTACTCCTTTAAATGAAAAAGTAAAGCTCTATTTCCATTCCTCATCTTGAGCAGTGGCCGGATACATAATGATTTTCTTCAAATATAGGCTATATAAGGTAATATAGAGGTAATAAGATGGCCTCTTAGAATCTATTGTAGTTGTAAGTTTTCAAGGCAAAAAAGTAGGTCAGCAGCAGTGTTCCTCAGGGCTCAGTTCCAGGGCCTTACATTCACTGGATGCAGGAGCTGAATGCACCATCAGCAAGTTCCTGATAATATCCAGCTGGGAGGTTGTGGTTGACTTTTAAAGGATGGGATGCCTTGCAGAAGGTTCTAGATAAATTGGAGCACTGGGCAGTGATTAATGGGATGAAATTTAAGAAGTCAAAACACTGGACTCTGCACCTAGGATGGAGTAAAGCCAGACACAAGTGTAAACTGGGAGAGGAGTGCCTGGAGAGCAGCCCTGCCCAAAGGGATCTGGGGGTGCTGCTTGGCAGCAGGAGCCAGGCTCACTCCTGGCTCACAGGAGCCAGCAATGTGCACTGGAAGCCAGGAGGGGAAACCCCATCCTCGGGTGCAGCCAACCCAGTGTGAGCTGCCCTTCAAAAGAGGCATCATTGTCAATTGTGTGTGTGTGTGTTAGAGTATGTTTTTCTCATAGTAAGGAATTTTTGTCTCCTCTTGATTTTTACAATGTCTCCTTTGTTTTCTGTGTGAAGACGGGTACACAACCTTTTAATCGTGCAATGCTCTTTAATGTTGGCTTCAAAGAGGCTATGAAGGATGCTGTCTGGGACTGCATAATATTCCATGATGTGGATCACTTACCTGAAAATGACAGAAATTACTATGGATGTGGAGAAATGCCACGCCATTTTGCAGCAAAGCTGGACAAGTACATGTACATGTAAGTAAATAGTTTTATTCACATTATTTCTTAAATACTCAGAAATATTTAAAAGTATGAATTTTGTGTCACTATATACACTATACACTATATACACCTGTGACATTATATACTATATACATAGGTGAAAACAACAAAGCAGCCTCCTACCATGCTATTTACAGAAATGAATAGTTAATAAAAGAAAGATTTAAATTTAGTTTCTACATTTGATGTGTTACTAAATAGAAGATAATATTTATTATTTTCAATGTTGAGCTTGTTGCAGTGATGTTGGTCTCAAAAAAAAGGCTTTGTATGTCAAGGGGGAAAATCTTACCTAACTTACTTGAAATGATTTCTGGCTACATAAACACTTCTGCTGGCTGTTACCAAAGAAAAGCAGAAAATCTGCAGCAAAATATCACAGGAATAATGTCTTTATTTTCTGATAAATGCATACTTTTATTTCTGTTTCATACTGCTTTTTAAACTGAAGATTTTCTTACTGCTAGACCATTTTTTATGTTGTCTCTCAGTCTCGATTGACATTGGGTGAATGTAGTGGGACCTGCACTTTTCTTACCTCTTTCTCCTCTGTCAGTTTACATTAATGATGTGCCACTTGCTTCTTAACACTCTGCTATCTCATGACATTCTTGGAATCACTTCACAGAAAGCTGCAGCTTATTACTTGCTACATGTATGTATTTGCTATCCTGGACTTTATTTGTGAAATTTATCTACTTGACAACCTGGCCAATTAACAGATAAAAAACAATGCCTTGAAACCATGGCTCTGTGTCTGGACTTCAGGTTGTCAACCAATCAGCAGTTCAATATTTAAAGATTTAATATGTATTTAAAAATAAATAAATAAGCACCTATGAATAAATAAGAGATTTCATCTATCTTTGTATGTACTTATAAAACATTTTATGCATTTATATAATGTCTACATAGGTAAGTATTTACAAAATTGATAAATTTTGTATAAACAAAACTAGATTTATAAAATAAAAAATTACCTCAAAAAGTCCCATTAACTGTCATATTCCAGTTGGTTTTGGTTTTGGTTGGTGGTCTGGTTTTGGGTTGGCAACATCTTTTTGTTGGTTATTTTGGAGGTATGTATGTGGGTTTTTTTGAGAGGCAGGAGGGGGTTAAAACACCTGCTCTTTCAATTACATGTTGAAAGGCAAATATAATTGCAATCTTCTCCACATCCTATTAAGATTTGGTTGAGTCCTGTGTTTCCACAGAGATCAGAAATTACGTTATTGTCTATTTCTATTTTCTTTCCCCTTTCATTCTGGAGTTATTCAGTGTGGCAATTGTGTCCTAAGCAATGGTAAATCTTTTTGTAGATGGTCTTAACTCCTTGAAGGTTCCAAATTTGGAAGTGTCTCCTGAGAGACTTTTGTTTTATGAAACTGTATGCTGCCTCTGAAAGAAAACTACTTTACTCTAGCAGCTTCTGGGTTAAGGATGCAAGTTAATATTGATGGAAGTAAATATAGATACTTAAATGTTTTAATTTTTTTTAGATTGACAGTGTTTGGAGGACTAGAAATCACATTGTCTGGGGCATAGTATGTTATATAGATAGGCTTTTCATGTTGGCCAACTGTTTATTGCTTAATTATATGTGTTAGCAAATACTTTTGCTTACTGACGGGAAAGCCTGTAGATACTTTTGATTCAAAAGTTTAGCTTTCAAAAACTGGAAAATGATTTTTTAAAATCAGCATGCCATTCACTGTTTAATATGTACTGTTTAACTGTTTCTCTTGAGTTTTAACAGTTCTGTAGAATATAGTAATAAATTGAAATTATTTAATTGATCCATTACTGATTTGTAATTTTTCATTAGATTAAAGAGGGGTTTTTCAGTTGAATAGTGTCAACATAAATAGTTTGAGGGCTTCACTTAACACTTCACTAAACACTTCACTTAACACTATGGGTCTAAATCAGTCATCTGAAATTCCTGGTATACTTCTGTTTCATATGTGTGATACTAATTGCAGCTACAGTTTAAGAGCACCTTTTATGCAAATCAGACACTACTGCAAACCTTTTGTTCAGCTTGCTGTATGTTACCTAATGCTGGCAATCCATGAACCAGTTTCCCTTGGTGAATACATTCAGCCCCTGGTCATGTCCTTAGCTTGAGGCTCTTGCTTTTATGGAAAGGTGTTGTAGAAAGAGAGGCCTACCTATCAAAGTGCAGCTAACAATATAGAATTTGTCTTTTGTTTACAGCCTTCCATACAATGAGTTCTTTGGTGGTGTAAGTGGCCTCACAGTGGAACAATTCAAGAAGATCAATGGTTTTCCAAATGCCTTTTGGGGATGGGGTGGAGAAGATGATGATCTTTGGAACAGGTGAGCTTTGAGTGCTTAGGTCTTTCTGTACCATCCAACCTTTGAGACCAATTAGGTGCTTTTCGTTCTGTTCCTTGTTACATTTTTGTAATTTGTTTTAAATTAAAAAATTCAAGAAAGTTTGCTTCAGAAATATCAGAATGCACCATTTGAAGGAATAAGTATGATGTTCTTTTTCCTTGGCCTGGGGGCAACTAGCAGATTCTTAAGAGCTAGATCTTGTAACAGCAGATATAACAACAGGTAACCATACTAAGCACATTGCATCCCTCTTACTGCTGACATTATGAAATACCATCCACAGACATGTAGTGTAAGCATGAGTTTCATGTCTTAGGGGCAGTGCTTGAGAGAGAGGTTAATTTGTGAGTATATTGATAATCCCAGAGTGGACAACAGACAACCCTGCTCGTGGCATTGCCAACTGCTCACAGTGAATGAGTCTAAACTGTTCTAAGTGAGCTGTTGAAAATGTCTGCATCATTTTTTTACATAAAGAGTTTTATAGATAAAGAGTTTTTTTTAGAATTTTATATATAAAGAGATATATTTTAAAGTACGAGGGTTTTTTTGTACTTTTTTCTTGCTATTTCCATGCTTTTATGCTGGAACAAGCAGGAAATATTAAATATGTAATTATTATTATTATTTTGCACTTTGTTTCGCCAACTTTTTTAGTTGTTTGGTTTGGAGTGTTACGGGTTTTTTTGGGAAGGGAATGTCAGTGAACATAAAGACTTAGCTTTAAAATATTTGATGTGTATTTTTCACTTTAACTTGTATGACAAGTTGTAAGAAGATGTTTTTACAAATGTTTTTGCAAATGTTCACTGCAGGGTTCATTATGCTGGATACAATGTAACGAGACCAGAAGGTGATTTAGGGAAGTACAAATCCATTCCTCATCATCACAGAGGAGAAGTCCAGTTTTTAGGACGGTAAGAAAAACCTAGAAATAATCAAATACTACAGCTAAAGATGTAAAATTTTTTTCTTGCATTCTTGCACACATATGAATAAGCAGTCAGTTCTTATCAGTGTTATTTCCTCTTTGGTGCTAAAATTTGTATTTTCTTAAATATGTTATGTTTTCTGTTCAGATATTTTTTTATTTAACTATGAGAGAGACTAAATGCATGTCAGAAGATACTATCATCATAACCTTTGATCCATAATGTTGTTGTTCCATAATAGTTTGGGCATTAGTGCTGGCAGGGCTCCATTAGTTGGTTATTTTGGATATTTTGCAAAAGGAAGCAGTGCCACTAGGGCAAAGGACTCCTGCATGAAAAATGACCTTAAAAGTCCTCAAGGATTGGTTTCTTCCCTCATATTTCATTATTTTTTGAGATACAGGTCTTCTCATTTCCTGCGTGCATTGATTTAAACCTTTTCTTTTGGGGTTCCTTTCTTTTGCTACAATGATACAAAACACTTAAACTGGCTGGTAGGTTCTGGCTGCCCTGGAATGGAATAGAAACCAGAATGCAACAGATGAACTACACATAAAATTTAGAAGGTGAAACACAAAAGAAAGGGTTTATGATAAGTGTTTTCAGGCAACTAGAAATAGTGTTCAATTCTGTCATCTTTTTCTGGGAACATATTTTTTCTCTTTTATTCATAGTTTTGAATTATGAAAAAAATTACAGACATGCACAGTAGAGATGAGTAAATCAGTTACAGGACATGAAAATGTATATATGGATAATAGGGGGGAGAAGAACTTTTTTTTCAATCACCTCAGATTTAGATGTTTGCAAATGCAGGAGTCTCAAGAGTGAAATGAAAATAATTTCAGACATTTAAATGTATAATGAAGAATAGTGAAGATTCCTAAATCTTCCCTGAACTCCTTAGTTGAATTTTATAGCAAAAAAACATGAAGAAATTGAATAATTAAAAATCTGTTTCATTTGGGACCATGAGAAGCTTACGTATTGAATGCTTCCTTTGTTATTTAGTCCTAATGTGAACTTGTATATGTGACCATAAAATCTAATTGTATTAAAAATCTTTAAAGCTTGTTTTTAAACCTAAGATAGGTTATTTGGTAATTTCAAGGATCTGAAAAGTAGTTTAAGAATTTAAGGTATACTTGAAAATTAAATGACTGTCGCAGTATCATGTCTAACATCAGCTGAATTGTTTCTTGCAAATCTTTCTCATTTTTCTTCTTCCAACTCCTTCTGCAGATACAAACTTCTGAGGTATTCCAGAGAACGTCAGTATATTGATGGGTTGAACAATTTAGTATATACTCCTAAAATACTTGTCAGTAGATTGTATAAAAATATAACTGTTAATCTCCTACCAGAACTCGCTCCTGTTAGAGACTATTGATGGAAGTGGATTGGCAAGAATCCTACCAGAATAAACTTTTAACACTGGAAGCTACTGATAAACACTGTAAAACAAAACAAAACCAACAAACAACAGCTTAGAATTAGAGTTTTTTGACCAACTGATGATGCATATTTGGGATGAGAAGTGATTGTATGTACCGTGCGTTTTGATCTGAAAGAAAAGCCAGCAGCTACCACTCAGATGTTTACAGCATGAGACTACTGTTCAAGCCTTCATTCTTCACACTCTCTATCTTAACTTCTCAACTATTTAAACTGCAGAAACAGACTTGTAGCTTCTCTGGAAGTAAGGACAGAGGCCTCTTCCAGGAATTTTTTTATACTAAACTGCCCCTCCTCATATTTAAATGAATGCTCTTGTTTCTTTTTAAAATGTGTTTTGTAAATATGTGATGTAAATTAATGTGTGTACATTGCTTTTCAATTGTTCAATATTTTATGCTTCAGTATGTATTTGAGTGTGTTCTTGTTTGATCTCTATAGAAATGTTTTTATTAGCATGAAAGAACAAGTGTAAAATGTAAGTATGCTTATAAAAAGGTTATACCTTATGTGAAATGAAGGAAATATTAATTGTTGGCCAGCTATGACTGTAAACTGTTATACTAGTTTTGAGCTCTAGGCCTTCTGCATATCTATTTAGAATAATCAAATTCTTATATAAACCTGCTAGAAAGAAAGCTTTTGATTTTATTTATTGCCAGTAAAATTGTATGATACCCTGCCTGCCATCTGAATCGTATTTATATGCATATTGCATGTGTATTACAGAAAATCTTGCAGTTGTTGCATATTATGATCTACAGGAACTCTTAACTGTATCCAAGTGTGCCACTAGTGTCAATGTCAGGGATTTTAATGCCTAAAACAATGTGTCTGGGTGCGTACAGTATTTTAGTATTGTTCTTTTTTTTTTTTTTTAATTCTAGTAAACAGCACTTTTATTCCTCCAAAATCAGAAGAGCCAAAAATGTGTCTTCATTGGAAGAATATTAAAGTTAGATTTTTAAGAGAATAATAAAACATAATTCTGATAGTTCAAATGCTTGCAGTGTGGGATTCTCAGAAGCACAGTGTTGGTCGTGCTGTTCTGCTGATGAGGATGGTGATGACATAAGCAGAACAGAAAGCAGGCCAATCTCAAGTGCTTTTTAAAATTCCACTCATAATATATTATTCAATATAGTTATTTAAGGGCCTATTCTGGTAGAGTGCTGAGTGCTTCTATGATGCACTGAGGATCCTCAAGTCGATGACTGTCAATGAGATTGAGGTTGCACAGTCCCACTAAGGATTGGTCCTATCTGTTTCTCTATTTTTGTGGTGTTAAATGTATGAGTAACTAGCCTCTTTCCTTATCTTCTTATTTTCTCTTTGCTTGTAATGTTATGCTACCTAAAGTATCCCACTGCTAAGCATTATTATCTTTACTAATATTTTTTTACATCCCTTGTTAATACAAAGGAAAAGGACCAGGTCATTTATTTTCTATGTTAATGCAAATATAGTGACCAAGATATATGAAACTGTTTCATTTGTCACAGTTACTCAACGCTTTAGGAACCAAAGACTGACTTCTGCTCCCTAAAGAATGGAAAGCAGTATATATAATAAGGATTGTTTATCCATAGAGTGTTCTGTAAGAGTGTTGACAAAGAATCCTAACTTTTAAGTCATTACTATATGTTGGTTTCTTAAATTGCTGCCGCAGATGGTGTGGTGCTTTTTATATTTTAAGTTTGTTTGCCATAAACACCTTTGATTTCTTTGGCATCCCAGCAGCAAATTTTACCCTTAGCCATCCTTCAGTAATGTTATGAACTTAGCTGTAGGCATCCCAAATATTTAGTAGAAATATTATTATTTAACTTAGTAGTTGAGAACAATTGTAAGGGATATTTTATACCATACAGGAATTACCTTAATATCTACCAGTTAATCTAATATGCTTTAGGAATGATGTAATGCAATGAAAATAACTAAAAGCATAAAGTGAAGAAAACATCCTTCAAAAGCATGCTTAAAGAGGTTTGCTCACCTCCTGATAGATTTTTCTATAACTGGGTGTATAGAACATTCTGAACCATATGGAGAAAGCTGAGATAATACACTGTATGAAAAATTATATCTCTAAAATAATATTAGTCTTATTTCATAGCAGACTAATACAGTTCTTTAAGAACAGTTGAATAAATTTTTAAATCCCTCATGTAATTTTGAAGTGATTTCTGGTTTTCAGTACAGGTGTACCTACAATTTCACATTTACAGTTATGAAACATCCTTTGGTATTGTAGGTCTGTACTGTTTTCTGAAGCATGCTTTTGTTCTCTTTTCTTAGACATTCTGTGAAATTTATGTGCAATTTAAAAAAATCTAATGCATATATATGTATATATACTTACATATATACATACTATATTACACATATGCTGTGGCTGAACTAATATAACTTTACAGCTTTAAGTGATTGATCATGTATGGTCCTAGAAAAATGTGAATTAAACCAGTATGTGAATGGATTGTGACATATAGCTGAGTTCTTAAAAATTTTGCATTTTGGTGCCCCAAAATGATGGATGTTAAATTATGAATTGTTGACCAACACTCTTCTCTAAGTACCTTTTATCACTTTGTTGAGAAGTTTTAGAAGTTGCCATCTTAAATTACATGAAAATAGTGTTTGTATACTACCTGTCTGAACTCAGTACTCTTCTGTAGTGAATTTTAACATAGACAGTGCCTTCAAACAAAATAAATACAATGCAGAACTAAGAGTTGTGCACATTCCTTTTGATAATTTCATGGTTCTGGTAAAATGTAGAGAGAAGCCAATCACATTGGCTTTTGAATTGCTGACAAGGCAAATAAGGGATGTCTTCAAGGAGTGAACATGGAGGGAGAAGAAGGAGGAAGTATTTTACAAGATTCTGAAGGTCTTGCAAAATAGCAAGTAAAAACATTACAGAACTATTAAAAGTAGAATCTGGTTAATATGCTAAGATACTCTCAAGCCCATTTTCTATATTTCAAATTTAAGTAGGAGAATAAAATATAAAGTCCATTTTGCAAATACGCAGTGTGTTGAAAAGCAAGTGCAAAATGTCCTTTTTCTTGGATCTTGCCACTCTATTTTTCTATTGTTATGTTTACTAATTGTTGTAGTGGGTTACTAATGAGCCAACTGTTTAAAAAAATTAAAAGGATCCATTGCATATCAGCAAGCGGAAGTGTACTTAAGATTATTTTATTTGTAGAGGTATGTAAGATAGGCTCAATGAAAAAATGCACTGAAACAAATGCTGGGAATTTCCTGTGTACTATCATAGTTTTGGGTTTTTTTGTTGTTCATGAAAATGTTTGTACTTTTTTATCATTGTCTTTTATGAAATATAATGTTCTAAAGATTGTGTTGGTTTGTTTTTTCTGAGATTCTGTGGAAAAGATATTATCTTTGTGTTTTGTTTCTAGACAAAATGCTCGTTTTTCTAGTGCTCAGTACCCCAAAGTAACTGCAAAAAGAAAGGACACACCTGTCCAAATTCATCAGGTTAGGCTGTGATGGGATCACGCCTTAGGCAGGCAGGGCGTTTTCCCTTTCTTTGTATTTATAGGCTTTCAGCTTTGGGTTTTATTAGTCTAAGTGACTCAACTTTTTCCATGCTTTTCCAAGACAGGGTTGTTCTTCTGTTGAATTCCCTAACGGTTCTACCCTATATAGGAATTACTAGAATGGGAATAGAAGGATTCATCCATATTTCTCCTGGCATTAAATAGGAAACTGATTTTCTCAGGATTCATCAGTTATCCTTATTTTTGTTTGCATTTTACAGCTTTTATGAAAATGTCTGATGGTTTGAGGTATGCAAGTAATTCTGGGGAGCACTTTAACTTGGGAAAGTATTTGCAGAATTTTCTGCAAATAAAAAGTATAAGCTTCTTCAAGTGATATACTTTTCTGAAACACAGGCTTCTGGTCTGTCCTTGAAAATGTCACGAGTTATGCTATATTGGAAAACAGGAAAGAAGGCATTTTAAGTATCTGTAGCCTGCTTAGCATCTGTAAATGCTGTTCTGCTATTCTGTCACCTTTACCTGCTTTCACTTCTATGTCTCCAAAATCAGAATTGAGAGGTGAGTTTATCTTGATAATTATGTGAGGCCCTGAGTGAGTAATCCCATGTGACTTCATCTGTTGTGAGCTTCATTAATAAAACATAGGAGATGGTAGTGGTGGACTGTATTTTCCGTCTGCTTGCTTTTCATGAGACACCTTTCACAGATGTGTTTTGTTCAATTCCTTTGCAAGAATAATTTAGTTTATCAACTTCATGGAAGACTGCTTTATTCTCTGAGTCCCCATAATGGGATTTCAATACATTTTTTTTCTGAGGTTAATGTGTTTTTTTCAAATCCTAAACTTTTATTCAGAAGGGCAATACTGACAATACAGAAATGCAGAATACTTCAATTCAGAAGACTATTTGAAAACAAAGTCAATACACTTTCTTCCTAAAGTTAACAAAGTGAATAAAAAACTTACTGTTACTGATTTACTATGAAATCTGAAGCTGTTGATACATTCAGATACTAAGTTCTTATCATTTATGGAAATTTTAATTTACACGACTGAATTTTCATGTTAATGTCAGCTTTTATGCCACTGGCTCGCTAACTACTGCTGTGGTTGAGTAAGAGAAGGGACTGAGGACAACAGCAATCTTGTAACGCCGATTACCAGCATCATTAGCTGTGAACACCACCTGGAAAAAGGAAAAACAAATATGAGACAAAATGAGAAGTGATCTCTAGATAAGAGCCTGGATGGAACCATTGTGATCATTGTATCTAACTTCACATGAGACTTCAGAAATATTCTCACTCTGAAGTGTGACTGCTTGTAACACTCAGTTTTTCTGCTGGTTAAATACCCTTTATTAAAAGTATAAATGTTACATTATTTAAGACTTTATTCAATTTATTTATTATCCAAATTGGCATTTCCTTGTTGGTACTCATAAATAACAACAAGACTTTGTTTCTTGTTTTCTTATGAAGGTCTTCTATGAACCCCAGTGATTTTCTTTATTTAAAAAAAAAAAGAAGCTAGCCCATTTGCCCATTCTTTCAAGTATTGGAATGCTTTTGTTACTCTTACCATGTTCTCTACTTCAAGGAACAGAATTAAACAGTGCTGCACTAGCTATCATTAGGCCAGAGTATAAAACAATGAGTGTCTTTAGTTCTGATTGAAAATCTAGTAGTTAGAGAAAGACTGCATTAGTTATCTGGCCACAGCATGATAATAACCTTACATATGAATGATTTACCACAGCCCTATTAACATCTCCCTGACCAGCACATCCTGTTCTTTGATTTCTCACTCCACATAATACATTATTTTGTGTTCTGAGATGAGAGGTGTCAGCTTTTAAAACAGACAGTTTAATAGCATTCTGTGATGCACAGCTTGTGCTCCTTTCAACATTAATAAAAAAGATGCATATGAAACAACCAGTGAACTGAGCAAAATGTGTTCCCTACTGAGGCTTATTTTTAAGAAAGAAGGCACTGTAGATTAAATTAATTTCCAGTCAACCATTATCTTGATATTTGATATCTTGATATGCAATCAATTCACTTACATGCTGTAAATCTTCCTTCTTCCCTTTTTTATTTCAGTTCCCACAGAAGGCAAGGCTATCTAGCCTTCTAACCTTCATTATTGTCTAGTATAAGAATGTCATCTTTCATTTGTTGGAAGACAGAGAATTTAATCCAAGCGTTAGCCACCTTTTCTTCACGGAGATAAGGAACAGCTAAGCAGATCTCTCACAGTCCAACAAACAACTAATACAGAGCTGCTGCTACTGAAAGGTCATAGGAAAGCACTAATGCTGTTGGGGGGAAGGAGACAGTCCCCAAATCCCTCAGCAGTACCTGGTTTGGAACAACTTCCTCTAACCAGTTTGTCCCAGGCAAATTAAAGAGGCATGTTGTACTTTTTTTTTTTTTCTCTTGTAAACTGGGGCTCCAAGCATCCAGAATGTAGTGCATATTTTTTGTTTCTTTAAAAATCTAAATTATGAACTTTGTAGCCATGAAAATGTTGTCTCCAAAAGACAGATCAATACTTTTCCTAGGGGACTTCACAGATACTCCACTTGTTGTCCCTCAAACACTTAGAATAATCACAAAAACAATCATGGGCTTACGTAGAGGTAGAAGGAATGAAAACCTCTCCATAAATAATGCACCGAGGATCTTTGAGACTTGTGGGGGAGCTAGTAACTAGGTTCTGTCATGACTATGTTCCTACAAAGCTTTGAGACTGTGGATTTTAAACTGAAAATGAAGTTCAACATACGCAGTTAGTAACCAAAGTCCACACATAGTAAGTATCTTTATTCTTTGCAACTGAAGTAGAGGAAAAAAGGAATACTCACATCAGCGTGTTGGTGGAAGGGATTCAAGCCCAGACTCTTCCAGTAAGAGGCTGTATCAAGCTCAAGCTTGTATAACCCTGCTACAAATTGTTCTTTCGTTGTAAGCTCTGGGAGGCCTCCTTTTTCATTGGTTTGTCTGTGTAATGGTAGAAGAACACACTTTTATAGTTTGGTTAAAAGCCTGAGAAAGTTTTTAGCAATTGAACTTGAGTGGTGTGTGGCTTAAATAATAGGATGAATACTTCTATTGATCTGGAATGGCTTATGTCCATCTGTATTATGGATGCTTCAGAGCTTATCTTGGCATTTGCTACTTCCACAGTGACCACAGCAGATGACTGCCTGCCATCTCATTAACTCTGCATGGTTTGGGGGTGAGCCAAAAACTGGCATTGTTGTTCATAGACTCTTGGCAGAGTCTTGGAGTTCAATTAAATGAACCCACTCAGAGGGAAAACTTCACCACTGCTGTAAGCAACATGGAAGCTCTATGATCCATCACTGTGCAACTAAGTAGGGTCAACTGTCTTGATTTTTCCATGGTTTTCTTTCTTATTTAAATGCATTGAGTTGTTTTATCAATATAAATATTGTTTACAGTTGGCTATTAGAAATTTGAGGTCTGCTATTTGAAATGACTATAGGTCAGCTAGCAGTGAAGCCTCATGGAATTCCTTGTGGTTTGTACTGGCCTCAACAAAGAGGCAGTTTTGTTTGATTTGAAGATACTATCCGTGTTACCTAAAGGCCTAGTAATGGTATGAAACCATACATCTTTGAACATCTGCCCATTTTGGGGTCCAGAAGCAATATTGAATGCTGTCTCTCAGACATGTCCCTTTTTTGAAACACCTTTCTGTGAAATAACTTTTGTAATACTAGGAGATTTTTTATTTGGTAGGTTATTCACAAATAACAGAGCTACCAGTGCCTGATTTTGGTATGTAAAGACCACTGTCTTTTGTTCTAGCTGCCAATTTTTTTCTGAACATATTTTATTCAAATTGCATGTAGAGAAAAATAATGTCATTGTGCAGTGCAATACTTAAGATTTGTTTTTTCATGTAGCTTAGAAAGTAAGGTATAGAATACCATTTATACCTTACAAGATGCTCCATAGTCAGTTATCAGAAGTTTTATATGTATTCAATTGTCTCTTTTTTTTCCTTTGTCACAGATTGATCATTGTTAGATAACTGGTCACTTCTCTAATAAGCTTTTTCAGATGGTATCAAATGCATCTTTGACTGAGAATGTTTGTTATAGGACATCTTGCTAGCATTCAATTATTTACAAATTATTAAGGTTGGAGAGGTTGATTTATTATTAGCATGACTTTTGCTTACCTTATCCTGAGGTTACTTTGCTCCTTGTTTCAAATGTTACATGTGTTTTTGAGACTTCAATCAACATCCAGCTGTTATGAGTATCTTTATATAGAGTCTCTAAGCTCAGAAATGAAGATAAGTGAACTGAACACCCTTGCTGGAAAATTTCACACATTTACAGTGATAGAATAGGTGTGAAATTGTCTTCTCACTTGAGGGAGTGAGGCAATTTAAGCAGGACAACATGAATAGATTGTTTTCCCCACATTGTACGTGTGGCCTTCACTGTACCTATATTTCTCAAGGACACATGAGAGCAATGTTGCTTGTGCCAGCCCAGTGCTCTGTGACACCCAAGAGGCATTTGAGCAGTTTCTGTAGGAATTTATAGAAATATATCTGAGTCTGGGATGCCACTGTTGAACTTCATGTGCTATGCCAGCTTGAGAGACCTTTCTCACTATTTTTCAAAAGTGTAATAGACTGTTAGCATACCTGGAAAGGTCTCAGGTGAGACTTTGCAACTATCATGAGGAGTTTAGTGTGGAAGTGGAATATTGCTTGGTGAATAAAGAATGCTCATTCCATGTATCCCCTAAGAATATTTTCAATTTAATTTCAGGCTATACTTTAAGTAAAAATTGCTTTTTATTTTTTTAAAGTCTTAATATTTACTAAAATAGAGGGCAATAAAAAAAAGTCATCTGCATCTTAAATTCTACAATTATGTTTTTCAAAAGACATGGCAATATTTATATTTATGGAGATTATTTTTTATTATTTGAGGCATGATTTCTTCTTTGTGAGGGAGAACATGAGAAAGAATTATCCCCAAATTTTCTCCTTTTGGCTAAGTCCTTTATCTTGAAGTAAAGTAGGCTAGCAAACATGATGTGGTATATGTTCAAAACAGTTTCTTTTTAAAACTGGTGTTTTAAGAAATGAAAATCCATTTAGAAAGATAGAAAATGGCCAATAAAGGTAGGATTCTCAACCAGAGTCTTGGTTTCAAAATGTAAGAGTCTATCTGATACTTCTGGTAACAATGCAGCAGTTCATTGCTGGGTACTTAAAGGTAATATAGACCTTTGCAATGAAATTAAAGAGAAGTGATGACTGAATTAAAGGATACCTTAAAATACTTTCTCGTGTTCATAAGATTTATAAAGCACTATAAAACCATTTTTGTAGTTGAAACTGAAGTACATTTAGAAGACAGTCTGCAGCAAGTTAATTCAATTGTATGTTATCTTTCCTCTGAGGAAAACAGACATCTCATTTTAGAGAATGTGGAACTGCTCTTTCAACTATTTGGCCTCTTCCCATTGCCTTTCTCATCTTTCACTCATTATTTTAGTGTGACTTACTGTGAATTTAGCAGTTCCCAAGATCCATCTGCAGCTCCTTTATATAATTTAACTGCAACATTTGGAGCTGGACTTCCTCGGACGGAATCCACAACTTTTACAGAAAGAGGATGCTTGGCATCAGGAGAGTCCTGCAATAGGGAGAGAATTTTTATGTTGCAAGAAGGTTGACATTGCATCATAAAAGAGTAGAGAATATAATTCTCCAGATCTACAGTAAAGACCATATTTTCCATGAGAATATTGCTGTGTACTGAGGAAACATAATCTGAAGCTTTCTGGGGGCTGGATATGGTAGAGCCAGGAAGGAAGATTTCAGGAGCTGTTGGGCATGTAGCCATGTACACCAAGGAGGCACTGCAGGTGTGAGACCACATTTCTATTTCTTCTTTGGCATGGCTTAGTACACATCATCTCCAGCATGAAGCTGTAACTAAATTGTGGCCTCAACAGGAAATAATTACATCCTCAAAGGTAGTAGGAAAGTTTAAATATGTGCCAACTCTTCCCCTGTATTTTGGTCTGGCAATCTAAGCACAGTTTTCTGGATTTGAGAGCCTCTCATACCTTGTTCCACAGAGCTATCTTTGTTGCCACAAATTTACAGTTCTGCTGTAAACATGATAAGCACCACATACATACTCTCTCTTAACAGCATGTTGAATCAGATTTGACAACCCTGGCAGCTACACAAGGACAGGAGAGAAAAACTTTCCTTCAAATACAGGATGGCTATAGTTTCACCCCGATACATCCATGGCCTGATGTTTTACCTTTTCAAAAATAGAATTAAATCAGTGCTTTGACCTTACCCAATTCTGCAGATGAAGAGTGAGAAAATAGAGCTTTGTAGAAGGTGCTAATCAAGGCTGATCTCAAAATAGCAGCCACTGATATCCATTTAATCATTGTAAAATTAATTGTGGTGTAGATGGTTAAAAATTAAGATCCCTCTCTTTCACGCCCTCTTACAATCTGGGATGTTCCACAGGCCAGGAACCCTGTCTAGTATCATACCAATATATCAGCATGTGTCTATACTGCCTGTATGCCCAGATTCCTCATGCTCCCTTTCTGGAATGCAGTGGCTCCTCACTGGTGATACTCATGAGGCCTTGAAAAGAAGGGCTGCACTGCCACAGCTGATTTTCCTGACTTTTGCACCCTGGGAGTTCAATGAAACCCCAATTCCTCAACAGCCTTAGTCAGGTACTATTTTCCCAAGGATCAGAGTTGAGAGGAAAAATGAGTAGTTGAGGAGAGAGAGAGAGACAAGGCTATTATAGGAGAATTTCAGGCTGAAGCATCTGAGTCTTTAGCTTGCTTTCCTGGGATAAATGAGCCCTCTGGAAGAAGAATCCTGACTTTAGCTCTGCTCTTTACTTACATGGGATTAAGCTGTAGTGGGTAGGGCAGTAAGGCAGAAGTCTAGAGAAGACCTTTCTCTAGCATGGATTTTGCAACAGGAGGTGAAATTCCTCATGACACAGCTTGTTCATTATGTTATGAATGCACGAGTTTTTTTGTCTAGTGAATACAATAGTTTTTCCTGTCTTGTTTTACATTGCTTTTCATGTAGTTGCTGTGTCTAATGGCAAGTGCTACTTCTCTACCCATAAAGTCCTCTCTCTAATCACTAGAGAAGGAGAAAGAAGGACCAGAAAAGAGTAATAGCAGAGAACTACAGTCAGTACATACTGTAAAATCAAAATAATAATGAAAAAAGAATAAAAGAATTGGGACTACATCAGTAGAAGGACTTCAGTCCTTAGACACTTACCAATGGTGCAGCTTCAGAGCAAAGTGCCAGGCCAGCTAAGAAAACGAGAAATACAGAATGAAAAGCCATTTTGCCTACCACTAGGAAGTCTGTGTCAGCAAGCAGAAAATGGTGGGAGCTGTGATTTTTATATCAAGGCCTCTGAAATGAAGCTACTTATCAGAAAACCTCTATGACTTTCAACACGTAGATTCATACTATTTACTTAGTAAACAATGAGAAAATAAGTAACCCATACAAACATGAACCTTGTCTGTGAAAATAAGTCTTTTCTATTCTAGAACCTTGTCTGTGGAAATCTTGTGAACATTGCCTAGTTCAACTGCTGTGTCAATTTTCTTCAAAGAAATGTCTATTTTCTATTTTTCCCTTTCTATTGAGGAATAATTGCTGTATATACCTGAGAGAAATACAAATTTTATGTCAACTCAGCAATTTCAGTGAGAAATTCTCCATGGTTATGGCTTGGTTTAACTGAGTCAGCCATGCTCATATATTAAGAGATTTCTCTCCACATCGCTCTCCTCCCCACCTCTAATCAAATGTAGGTGGATAATTTGTGGGCTACTTCGTTATCTTACCCTTTCCCTAGGAAGAAAAATATATTACTTTTGGTTTTCAGCATGGCATCAAGATACTTACACACCAACTTCTGAAGCTCATTTTAACAGTATTTTAAGTTGTGCCTCTTGTCCCTTAGATTCAGTACAAGCTCAGGACTTTCCCCATATAACTGCAAGTCAGCTCCTACCAGAAGCATCTGGTTCGACTGAAGGAAATGTGGCTTGAAATTCAACTTTGTCTTTCTGATCTTTGCTCAGACATATGTACATACACTCTTTTACTAGATTTATCCTCTCATCAGAGGGATGACTACAGGCAGAGTAGTTTTTTCTCTTTGTTTTGGATTTTTTTCCCCTAGTATATCTATATGAGCAAATTTAAGTCCTATTTTGAGGGCTTAGCACAACACACCTCAAGTGAAACCTACCAGTTTTCAAGCTCCAGGGATAGCAAGATCCCATGAAATCTCCATACTTTATGATGAGTGCTGTTTTGAAACTGTTTGCACTGCTTACAAGAGTTGTGTAATTATGCTAGCATCTAGAAATCCATGAAAAAGTAACCAGTGAAATGTTAAAGGCAAGCTTTTGTAACTTGTGAATTCACTTGCCATGCCGTCATCCCAGCAGGCTCTGGGTATAAACTCCAAGGTCAGTGGCAAATGAGTGCTGCAGGTTTCTGGCTGGCATGATTTCAGTTTCTTTCTCAGTAGTTTATGTAATCCAGGTAGAACCAATTCCTCTACTTCAGGATATTTTAAATACAATACAGAAATCACTGCTAAAGCCCTTAAAGCCTTTAGTCAGTTTATCAGCAACTTTATTTGAATCACAGTCACTGTACATCTTACCTTTTCCTTTTTATAAAAATATGAAGAGACGATTAAGAAGATGCTTCTCTTTTTGGACTTCTTTTTAATGTTGGCTACAGATTTGACTTATTAGAGATTTGACTGGAATGCACTTATATAGGGTAGCCAGATGCGTTATGTCAAATATTTGCTTTAATATCAAAGATGTTAAAAAGAGTGCTAATTGAAATTACTTCAGTACTTCCTAGATTGATTGAGCAGCCAACTTTCCTCTTGAGACATCAGTGTGTTGAGGTTTACTTGAAGTTTTAAGTAAAGGTACACAGATTTTAAGTCTTTCAGCTCTGTGATCATACTTATTTCAATGGTTTCTGTATTGTTTGTTCTGCTGCTAGGTATTCAGAATTTCACCTATTCACCTTATGACCTGGTTGATAGTAGGACCATATTTTCTGTGTGTAAACTTTGAGTAGCACAGATGGCTTTCTTATTTTGAGTACATTTATTTGGTAATTTTTTTAAGGTAACACAACCCTATGAATTTCCTGTTTTGAGCCAATGTATTTGGTGAGACTTCTTTAAGCCAGTGGAGGAAGATAACAAAACTAAATCAAGTGTCATCCCATGTGTGTTTTTCAGATGTCCTTTGCACTTTAATGCAAATTATAATACTTTAGAAAACAATAAAATTCCACTAATTGAGTCCAAATTGTTTTAAAGAAGTAATATTTTATTGACTTGTCTGAGGTTTGCCAGGTCACAAAATGAAAATAAAACAACTAATGTAGCAAAAAGTTATGCATTAGCAATAGGAAAAACCTTCCTCCTAAAAGCCTATGATAGTTCTAGTGGAGGAAAGTGTGAAGAGACAGTACATGTTTATTCCTCGGGGGCAGTGACAACAGCAGTGGTTGAGTAGGAGAAAGGGCTGAGGAGAGCGGCGATGGTGTAGTGGCGGTGACCGGAGTCGTTAGCAGTGAACACCACCTGGAAAAGGGAAAACTCGTGGTCATGATGAGCAACACACAGCCAAAGCAGCTTATTAACAACTAAGCAGCACACCCCACTGCATCTGCAGAGCGCTTTGCTGGTTCTGTTCAATGCTTTTACCCTTCTGAAGGGTAATGCTTCTGCTACTTTGTGATTGCCAAGGACTGAGATATTTGTGGGGTTTGGGCTGAGGTCCACAGAGCGCTTCAGCTGCAGTGAGGCTGAATGGAAATACCCACACCTGAGCCAGGCAAACTACTTTGTGATGTGGAATAGGAGGGTAAGGGGGAGGTATCTCAAATGACCAGTAAGAAAGACAGGGGTGAAATTCCACCCAGGGAATTTAAATACAGTCCCTGTGTGACATGGCCAAACAAGGCAGGCAGCTGGAGTCCAAAGCCATTTTCTGTACTTCAGTGCCCCCTCCTGTTTTTAAGACCATTGGTGATGGGTCAGTTTTTGCATTAAGAACTGAATGGCTAGACTTGCCAGAACAAGGAGAAACCCTTGCCCTAAGACAATTCAAATCTACTGCTCTTCAAATTAGTCCAATGGGACTTGGGACACACAATTCCCAGGAGAGTATTGTCACCTGGGTTAAATTCCAGCTTTCTTTAGCCTACTATTTGATCTATTTTCTAAATCATGAAGGACTTTCTGTAAGTGGACTATAGAGTTCTTTCCTATGACCAAAGTCTAAGCTGCTGGGACATGAGGACTGTAGGCTTCAGCTATCCTGTACACAGTCAGTCCCTGAACTCTTCCCACTTCCCAGGCTAGCTTGTTGGCCTGTAGGCTATTATGTCAAGGAAAAGCCTTCTCAGCCTAGCTGGAACATTCTCAGTCAGGTACTTTTAAGCACCTTCTGAGGTGTACCCCTTACAACTTTCAGACATCCAAATGGTTAGGGAATACTTTTGAGGTTTCTTTTTTGATCTAAATCACCCAAACAGCACCTCAGACTTTAAGGATCTGGGACACAGTAATTTGTTTTAGTCTTCCACTAGAGCTCCATGAACTTGTGGTTTGAAATGTTCTACAACACCACCAGTAGCTGTTCCAGACTACTTAAACTGGGGAAACTTAAATTTAATGACAGATTAAGCCTAAAGAATTTAAACAGATTTTGGATATGCTAAGTAAATGTAGTAGAAAATCTACACAATAGTAGTAGAAGTAGAATATTTATACAATAAATCAGTGTAGGACTGAAAGCAAGGAGAGAGACATGACATGATCACATTTCTGGCCTGCTTGTAAAATTTGAGTATCAACAAAATAGTCAACTTTTCCTTTCCCACCATGGTTACGTCTTTACTTTTTTATACCTTCTTTTTTTTTTTTTTTAGTTGTATAGTTTGGTACTGAACAGCATTTTAAAAAAAGGCACACCAGAAAGAATTGTTTTTTTCTTGTAATTATATGTCATGTTAGAATTCAGGGATTTTCATGTGACTGATATGGGGTAAATACCTCTGATTTAAGCATAACTTATTTCCTATAAAATTAGGGTTTCCAAATCCAAATCTCTCCATTACTTCATCATCAATAAAAGCAGTTTCTTTTTTTTGGTGTTGTTTTTTTTTTATTATTTTTTAAATTTTTGTTTTTTTCTTGTTTGTTTTTATAAAAACTGTCTACTATTGAATAATGTAGCTCTTTTCAAGCAAGATTCCCTGCTGGTATGAGTAGGTGAATGGGAACAGCTACACTTTGGAAGAGCTGTGTCAGCATTTGCAGGGAAGTTGGCTCCTTCCTGTGGCTTAGCTGGATATTTACTGCCTCTATTTGCCCAGTGCTGTGTGGCAGTGAACCACTTCACTGAGTGTGGCTGCTCCTTCAGTGTTAAAGGGCTGTGTTTGCTCTTTCCAGCTGATGCCACTACACAGGCAGTGTGTTCTGGTTATCAGTGTGCACTGGTTATCAGTGGGCACTGGTTATCAAGGATATTTGCCACTACTCACATCAGCATATTCGTGGAATGCAGAAAGCCCGAGCGCCTTCCAGTAGGAGCTGGTATCAAACTTCACCATGTACTTTCCCTCTACAAACTGTTCTTCTGACGTGAGATCATGAATCTCCCCATACTCTGTGGTTTTCCTGTAATGATTAAATATCTATATAAATATTTTATACTATCATTTAGATGCTAAACAGAAACAGTCAGTGTGGAATATTAAATAGCAGAGGTGCCAAATTCTACATTGAGCAGCCTAATCCTCTGAAATAATTCCTTCCCTTTATGTAGTGGATGTTTCCACACATTGCAGAATCTGTCCTTGCTACCAACTCACCCATACACATCACAAATAAAAGCTGGCTGGTCCCTCTTTTAGTATCATGTCTAACTTGTACCCAATGTCCTCTGGAACCAAAGGTTACTGTCTTAGGAGAAGGAATGTCATGATGAGAGGCAAAATGCCAAATCTCAAAATGAAACTAAGCAGAGAAGAGAAATTTTATTGGAAAAATTATTTTGTTCTCCAGTTATTAGCACTGAGGCTCTGGAGTTTATTCCTATACAATGATGTTATTTTATGTGACCCTTAGTGATAATGTCTTGAAAAAGCAATTTAGCATCATAAGATTTTAATAATTTGAATTACCTTGGTCAAGGAGCAGGGCCCTCTTGCTCTGAGTACCATATAAATGAGCAATAGGAATTCCCAGCTCAGAGTTTATGTGCTCAGCTCAGAACAAAAAACTGTGGATGGAGAAATTCCAGTAGCAAGAAGGAAGTATAGCTGGCACTGCACTCTATTTGTTTGAAAAGGAGGCTTTTCAAGCTTTGTATGACAGCTGTTTAAATATTTACATACTTAGCTTCTAAACGCCATTTATCTCTTTTCCCTCCTTTTACTTAGTTTCTGATTTTGTAACCTTTTGTGTTTGTTTGTTTTTGTTTGGGTCTTTTTCTGCAGAAAATATTTATTTGATGTTTATAGCACTTCATAACCACATGATTTAGTTGAAGGAAAAATGAAGAAAGCCTTAACTGGGAGAACTAGTGGAATTTTCCTGTCTTATGGCAAGGAGTAACTGTCTAGGCAGAAAACAAACTTGAGGAGGATGAGTGGAAGTGGAGGAAGATAAGCAGTGACATGCTGCTTATCTGGGAAAGGATCAGTTGTGTTATTGGGCTTTTCTTTCCCAGTCCCTTTCTCCTCCTTCACCTTATTTGTAATGGTGGTAAATAAAAAAAGACTGAATTACAGAGCTTTTGCTTAAATTAAGAGGTAGCAGGATGGAAAATCCCATACTAATTTTAATTTTTTTTATTTGTCAAGACTGACAAAATCTCACTGGTCCAATGCAAGTGTAATCAAGTGTATCCAGAGCAGACCAAACCTGCAGAGAACCAAAGTCCTATTTGAAACAAGTATCACAGTCAGTTTGTAAAGTGTATGCATCTGTTTTCTTTTAGTTTAATTAGTAATTCCTGGTTTGATCTATATTGCTTTAATGAAAGAAGAAAGAATTCATTTGTGAGTGTTCTTGAAGCTGAAGTGAAAGAGAATTACTGAGATCCTGCAGAAGTTAGTGAATCATGTACTTCTGCCTATAATCTTGATAGTCTAGGTAAGCAATTAAAAGGAAAAATGGTGTCTGCCTCAAAATCTTTGTTCAGGAAAACAAATTAGTTTTAGTTTGAGAAAAGTGTGGATGGAGCTGGAATGGTGCTTTCCCTAAGGGGTAATGCTCCAGAGTATCAGATGTTAACCATCCAGAACAGCTGGGAAACTGGAAACAAGAGCTCACTTGAAAATGCATGCCCGCTAACAGAAGTTAATGGCACTTTCTTTATTTTAATTATTAAGTGGTAGCCATTCAATGCAACTGGTCACACAAGGAAACCCTTCAGCATTACTGCTGCACTGACAGCCAACAGGACAGTGTGTGATTCAGAGCCTGGAGGGGATGAGCACAAGGCAGGGATGCTCAGCATTCAGCACTGGTAGCAAAATGCTCTGATTGCTTCTGAACAGCACTTGTATTTCTGTCTGAGTGGGGGACTAAATATAATATGGTTCCTTATTCTTAACAGGATGTGGACTGCCAGCATCTGCTGTAAGACGAACAGCTAAATTAAAAAGCTGTGCTTTTCCAGTAAAGTTACTACAGTGCCAGCCCATACTGCAGTCCTGATCCTCTTTTTGACTGTCTGGACCTTAGTTGTATATTGTAGCCAGTTAAATCTACACTGCCTGTACAATGATGTTTATGGACTCTTAGGACATACTGCACTGAGATAAACTGTTCTCAGATGCAGACTGATGAGGAAATATCTCAGGAACACTAGCTCTTCTTTTGGAGTTAAAAAAAAAAAAGGAGGGTTGGGGAACCACTTCAAAATACACAGAAGTCTTTTCTTTCATGACTTGTAACCCAGGTTACATGAAAACTGTGTTCGCTGACTGCAACTCTTGAACCACATGATAAGACCTAGATTTCAAAAAACTTGTGAGGAGTGAGAAGATCAAAGCTAGTCATGGGAGGATCTCATATAGAATCTAAATGACATTTTCTGCACCCTAAACCCTTCCCCAGTATGTCTTAGCTCAAGTTATCTTTTCTTGCATATTTTTAGCTAGAGTAATTTTCAAATAAGCCTCTTAATAAAGTCAGCTCCTACTATTCTAACTTCCCCACTGCCCCTTAAACACCATTACTCAAATTCAACAGTTGCTGAGTACATTTGCTTAATTCCATGAAGTGTGCTTGCAAAGTAAACATAAGAAAACAAAATGGTAAAAACATAACTACAACAGATATTTGTACAAAATGTAACTTTCCCATATGTATCTGCTATGTACTGTAACTTCAAAATGTTATTCACCTTATGGGAGTATTTACAGATTGTGTTCCGGGATTCATTCACATTTTCAGCTGTTTTAACACAGGGATATTCTGGCTTCTCCAAAAGAATAAAATTGTAATTGCATATGAAAACTTTGTTCAAACAACCGTTTGAAAACTTTGTTCAAATCACCTAAAGTCAATGGTATTACTGAAAGCAGCCTTGGTTGTAATGCAAGTCAGGAAAAATGTCAAAATCTTTACCTGCAATAAAAGTTATGATTTAATGTTCCTTCATCACCATCCCCCAGCAAAATGGTTCTCACTTGCCTAGGCTTAATCTTCCCAATTTATGGTTAAGAAGATGTGATTAGATTTTCTTGAGTGCACTAACCTAAAGTGTCAGCAGAAGTTGCCTAAGAACTACAGGATTTGTCTCTATGGGCTTGTTGAGAGCAGGGCTGCAAAATGAACAAAAAACCCACTTTTTTTCTTGCACCAGAAGTGAGGGCATTTAATAATGTAATTTCTCTTATTCATCTGTAAATTGTATTTTGTATTAGCTGTTAAACAGTACTTGATGAAACATTTTAAATAATTTGGTTTTCTAATAATGAAAGGAATGCTCACTAGGGATAAGATGTTATCCTTGTCTCTGCTTTCCTTGAAAAAAATGTGTCACTTTTCATGGAGTTTCTCTGTTCATTAAAGTATATAAATCCATTTTAGGAGTCATTTATTCCTAGGTTAAGATTCAGCATGGGAGTGGAGTTTGTTTTTTCAGTCTTGTAAACTTTCTTTCTACTTTTCAATGGGGAAAAGCATTTTTGGTTTTCATTATATAAAAAGAAACCATTCAGATGGAGAAAAAGTTATTTCTCCTTATAGTCTTCTTCTCTGGGGTTTTCTTTCTTTTTTTTTTCCCCTGCTGCTTATGTGTAAATCATGCTATAAAAACTCCTAATAAAAAACAGTTAGATGTACAGTTGACTCCTGTCCATTCTTGTGTTTATCATTCTGTGCTTGAATATTCTGCTGCTACTGGAGACTTCTCTTGAGTTATTTAAAAATCTGATTCAACAAACTTTTGCAATGAAAGTTAAATGTCTAAATACCTCAGCTACTTGAATTTTAGTAAACTGTGTTCTTCTGTTACTCATACACCTGTCACAGACTGAAGGTATTATTGTCTGACCCTCTAAGGTATTTGTAAGGATGCTAGGTATCTATTGGTATTGGTCTGTAATTCTAGAAAAACACATTCAGAGCTAGAGAAAAGGCCTCAAACTGCTGAGATTTTGCTTCAGTGTTATGTTACAATAGTATTCTTAAAAACTATCTGGTCAAGGAGTTTCTTCCAACCAGCACATTTGATACACAGCAGAAGATGAATAATGCAATAATTATTTACATGTGTGCAGACAAAGCCTACAGAGAGGATTTTGTATGTGACTGCTGCAAATTAAGCTCTATATCCATTGCACATGAAGATAGGTTAGTCTGGATTACCTATAAAACGCTGGTAAATAGGCTTTTTTTCTTTTTCTTTCTATAGAAAGGAAAGATAATACTGAAGCTAGGAGAAAAAATAAGTATCAAAACTAGTCCCTTTCAAAGATAAGATGAGCATCCGAACATATTTTTGCAATTAACATTTCGGTCACTGAAAAGTTCCACTTAAACCTAACAGATTTGGAATCAGAATTCATGTGCTATGAACACGGATAGTGTGGCACGTGTCAGAAAACACATTTCTCTTTTGATCAGAGCTCCATTCCTTTAACTCCTCAATTGCTTGCCCAAGGCACCCCGAAAACAGCTCCAGAAGACCACACAACTTACCCAACAGCAAAGTCCTGCCAGCTTCCATCTTCAGCCTGTTTAAAAACTTTAACATTTACATCAGATGCAGGGCTTCCTCTGACTGCATCCAGCACTTTCACCATAAGAGGGCATTTGGAATCAACAGAGCCATGGGAGACCTTGGGGAAAGGAGGAGAAGTTGTATAGGAACTGTTCACCAAGTCTGCAAAAACCTTCTCCCAAAGAAAAGATAGATTCTAATTGCAGAGTTACCATTCACTTAAAAGCAAGTTCTCTGCCAATGCTATTCAAAGCTAATTTCCAAACAACTATTTCTTAAGCAGAATATCTTAGAGCTTTATACTGATGCTTTATTACACACACACAGATTGCTTGGTCAATATTAGAGTTGCTCTAAATGGCTCTATGAAAATGATACAATGTTATACCTTCATAATATCACAAATATGAAAATAGCAAATTCTTTTAAGTGCAAAGTATGTTATCTAGGGAAACCAACAAAGAAATACATATGACATCCTAAGGCAGAAAGAATATCCCTCTCTTAGACTTCATTACATTATAAGGAATCCTTAGTCATACCTCAAAAATAGTTTTTATTTGCTTTAGAGAAGCCCTTGTTTGGTGAAACTGCCTCTTTATTGAGGATATGGAATGTGAGTCATGAACAGATAGAAACAAAGCAAAATAAAAGGTCACACCACCTAGATCCTTGACCCTTCCATAATACCTTAAAATAGGTGGGTAAATTACAAGAAAAGAAAAAAGTTTTAAGAATTCTGAAGAATACTATAAAAAAAAACCCAGAAATTGCATTCTGACAAAGCCCAATGGTTGCAGAATTTCATGGATGAGGAGGATGCTAGTCATCTAGAAAATCTAGATTATCATTCTTGTAATGATTGAGCTTGAAAACAAAGAAACTCACCAGTGGTGCAGCTTCAGAGAAAAATACCAGTCCAGCTAAGAAAACAAAGAGTGCAGACTGAAAGGCCATTCTGCTTGCTGTTAGTGAGCCTTGGTGCCAGCAGCCAGGAGCTGAGGGGATTTGAGATTTTATAGCCAATCCAACAACAAAACAGGCTGCTTATTGGGTGCCCATATGACTCCAAAACTGCTGATTCTGATTATTTGCTTAGTAAATAGCCCAATCCTAGAGTCAGTCCATTGCTTCATGGCACTGCCATTGAAGTCAATGGAAGGACTGCAGGATCACTAGAGAAAAGAAAATAAGTAACGGACACAAACATGACCCTTGCCTGGGGAGATTACACTCATAGAAAGCCCTCCACAAAATAACACAAATGACCTTTTTTTGCCCAGAAATTCAACTAGTTCTAGGAGAATTTCTTTATCTTGCCCTTAGGTTGGGCATGAAAATGCCCCAATGCTTTCTCCGCAGCCACCCCATGTTTCTTCTCAGTATATTCACTTCTTTCTGAGGATCAGATCCACATATGGATGCAGACTCAGTATATGGGTGATGGAGTTTGTTCATAGTCTGGCTCAAGCAGTGCTGGATTCCCAATCAGTCTCCCTGCTTGCTGGAAAGGAGCAATGTCTCTGTTTTGAGACACAACTTAGATGGGTTCTGACACAATCTGTCACCACCACAAGCTTCTAATTATTCATCTTGACCAACTTTCAGGTAGACACTGAGGTCTCTTAGTCACTGGGAAAAGACTTGTAGAGAGCTGTCCCCCTGGGAAGGTAAAGATCTCAGAAAAATGAAATGAGTCCTCTCTTGCACCATGTACCCCAAAAGGAGCCAAGGCAGCCAGCAAAGACTGGTAGCTTTTGCTAACATCTGGCTAAGGTTCCAGTTGCCAAACCTTTATTATGCTGGGAATGTTATTGTTACATGTATGTTTGTACATTTCTACATTTGTAAGTGTACAAATATACATTTCAGAGGTTTTTCAGGGGTGGACTCAGCCCCAGCCTAATCTGGGAGAATTCATCTGGGGGAGTTGGCATTGTATAGCTGGTTTTGTTCAGGTGCATCACATAAACTGTCCATACTGTACCTTTGCTAGTTGAGAGACAAAGAAACTGTCCTGTTTAGCAGATCCTTTTCCCCACATGTTAAACAACCCTGAATCTACACTTTTCAGGAGCTGGCACTCATTTTTTACGGATTTCACAGTATCCTAACAAAAAGCAGTTTTCTTGAATAGGATTATGATGGAAGTCTTAGAGAGAAATCACAGATGGTATTCTCCAGAGACTTTCATGCCTTCAGGCTGCTTTAGGCAGTTTTTCTCTCTAGGCAAAGTTGATTTTTGAGAAAAAAATCTATCATACAGTAATCTCCTGCACTGGGATCAAAGTGCCCTTTGTCCTTACAGCAAAGCAGGCTGATACGTAGGTAACATTCTACACACACTTTGCCTGCACGTAAAATTCAGTGCAAGGTGCCCACCAGTAACAAACTATGCTCCAATCTAATGCTTGGGGGTTGTATTCAGATCTTGGAAAGTTAAATGCTGCTCCTAGATCTGTGCAACAACATATTACCTCATAATTTTGTTCTCATTATTAATGAATATTTCTCTGAAGCAATGAAGATTTGTATGTCTGGAAGAGAAATGATCTGTATTCTAGAGCAAGTAGGCTGTCCTGTGTTTTGCTGTCAGCTATTCTGCAAGGAGATAACGCCAAGGGGTTAATTATATTGGCACTTGGCTGCATGAGAAATTGCTCTCCTATGGGACAATTACTTAAGAAATAATGATTTTGTTCTAGGTTTTCCTGCAAAGTAGCAGTTTCTGAAAAATCATGTCTACAGGGATAGTACATTTCAGCTGTCCATATTATTTTGTTTCCCTCTTTCATAACATTGATTGACCTTTTGGCAGCTGCTACTTAGAGTGAATAATGAGCATGAAAAATTCTAACCCCAATATGATTTTTATCTCAATGTCCTTCCTTTGCTGTTTTTTTCAACTCTCAACATAACCCAGACAGGGATTCTTTGACTACTAGCAGGGACACCAGTTTGAGTGGGAAATTAGACTTTGTGTGTTTGTGAATCTCCTTTCACACATTTTGCACACAACTAGATCCTTTCTGTAAGTTCTAAGATACAGGTGGACTCAGTGAGATTGCAAAAAAAGAGTATCTACTACATCTCATCTCTGATCATGAAGCATCCAGAATTTATACTGAATTCTATTAAAATCCATGCAGACCTAATTTACAATTGCTATAGCCTAGTGAAAGCAATGCTAGGTTGTTCTTCCCACTTCCATTGTCAGCCTCAACCTAGTATCGCAATGTGGTAATATTTTCCATAAAATGCATGTGAACGATCAGGGATTTGGAACAGCTGGTGGAGAAAGATGGTTCTCCCTTGGCAGAGAATCAAAACATAATTGTGGGAGGGAAAAGGAGAAGGAGGATGGATAACTGCTGAGCATCCAGCAGGTGCTGATTGACTCTTGTCTGTCTGTTGTTAAATGTTCTTAAACATTTTCTGTGCAACGGGATTCTGAAACTTATATACTGAATAGCTTATCCCAGATACACAATAAGAGAAGGTGAAATGAAAAGAGGCTGAGCTCTGAAATGTAAGTGGGACTGGCAAACTCTAGACCTTCTGAAGGAGGTGGAAGCTGCTACGAGGAGCTGGAAAGAGGGCAGCTCCCAGAGACTGCTAGCAGGGCACATGCCCCAGGAAACGTGGTGCAACACAGAGCCTTAGCACAGAGCAGTAGCATAAATGCCCTTTTGTGAAAAAAGAGTAAACTGAGTTACTGAAAACTCAACAGAAAGAGATCTCTAGGAATCCTGGTGTGTAAGTAGCTGCAGGGTAACACAGCTAAAACAGAGATAGTATGAGGCTATATAGTGCAAGCATCTGGGGTCTAGGGGACTCCAGAAACCCAGAAGAAGGGGTGGTCACCCAGAACACAGGGTTATTAGGGTGTTGAAGAAGAGAACAGCCAAGAGTCCCTGGTGTACCCAGTAACCTCAGCTTTATGGAAGCCAACAAGTGTGAGACCCCCAGTTACGGAAAAATTTAGATAATCTTCAAATATTTGAATGCTTTGAGGCTTATCTGAATTCCAAATCAATTGAAGATCATCTCTGAAGAATTAGGATTAATGCTTATTTCTAATGAAAGTGTGTTCCCTGTTTGAAAGCATTAGAGTGTTCAGGTCAAGAGCAAACATGTCCTATGGCTAATACTCTTGTTTATGTCAAGGATTTTTCCCACTATGCTATGGTATTTTTCTCTCTCTTCTGTGTAGTTTCACACACTTAGGCTTGTTTTACACAGATAATCTCCTTATTCTCTGCAGCATTCCCTTCTATTTGACTTCATTTAGAAAGCCAACAGCTTCCACATAGCAGAATGCTCAGACAGGCTGGAATACTTTGAAAATAAAAACCTGTAAGCTTCTCCTGTGACATTGGAATGAAAGGCCCTGATAGATGATAAGCCATTCAGTAATCTGGATAGAATTCCCAAACTCCCTGTTTGAAGAATTAATGAATTCCTGGGCTCTGAAAAAATCCTTTCTATAATATAGAGACCTGAATGTGACACCTTTTTTCACTTCTCTGGAATAACATTCCATAGGGACTTACAGGAAAAGACCTGAGATTTACCTCTCAAAGGAGTTCACCTAAATTTTCTAGGTGAAAAAAGAGTCAAGAACTTTGTGAGTTTTACTTCAGGTGTCTGTCAGCTCAGTTGCTTCTGGCACATAAGGAGAGTGCTCAATGCAGTAACTGCTTGAAGCCAGTGAGAAATCTTCTGTTGCTTTCACTATTTGCTAATTATATAACATTCCCCCTCTCTGCAAAGCCAGGGATAATGCTTTTCTAATTAATAAATGTGCTCAGGGAAGTTCATGTTTGAGCTTGAATTTCAATCTGTAAAGAATGGTATTAAAAATTGTGGCATTCCAGGTATGTGTGGTGTTTGCATGTTTATCAGCCTTTTCCATTTTAATTTTTGCTGAGGAGTACGTCTGTATTTTGAGTTTTAATGGTCACTATCAGATTTTCACAGGACTAACACCACCCATTTATTTGGAAGTAAGGAAACATTACTGATCTTATGCAGAAAAATAAGGAAAACATCCTTATTTTGTATCTTAAATCAAATCCAGTTACTTCAAAAATGAGGAGTTGGATACTGTTAGCAAACAATTTTGAAGACAGATGGGTTGGGCTGGTCTTGAGGTATAAAATCATAGGTTTTTTTATAATTTCCAAGGTTGTGTCTGAGGAGCATCCTGGGATATAGCTCAAAGTCCAAAAAGGAGACATAAATAGATGATTCTTACTTTAGGGCATTTGTAATGTATGAATTCACCTGGCACCTGCTCATCTCAGCAGGCTCTGAAGCATTTAAACTCCAAGGTCAGTGGGCACTTATTATTACTTCTTTATTAGCTACCCCTATAGGTCTTGTGATCTCTCAAAAGCAAACTTCTGTTATTCAACTTTAATATGTACTCATGTCTACATACTGATCTATCAGTCTAGACAAGTGATTTAAAAAATAAAAAAACTAATTCAGTTTATGCACAGAGCTAACTGAATATCCTTGTGCTAGAATTAATATTTCCTGTGTTTTAAAGATGCTGGAACTTGCCATGAGATCAATGTTTTTAAAGGTCAATCTATTTATTAGTAAAATTATTAGGTGGTTTATATTTTAAATTTAGCTTTTGTGCCATTCTTACAGGAAGCCATGCACAATAAATCTACAGCATGATGCAAATGTTCCAATAGCAAAAAGAAACCTTAACACAGGTCACTATTTTTCTGGGGTCTTGGCTAGGCTATTTTGGGAGTGTATTATATTTTTAAGTGAATTTCCATCAATTATCCATTTGTTCTCAGTGGACTGCAGATATCAAAAGATTAATTAGATCACACATGACAATCAAAATCTTCCTCTAGCAATAATGACCAAAAGAGGTTCTGTAGGGTTAAACTATAATCTTTTCTAAGGTTATATATATTTGCTAAGCTATTGCAGCTATGTACTTTTTTCATCATCTTGCTGTTTAAGATTGTAAAATGCTGAGTCTAGGGCACTTCATTCTGATACCTAAATACAAATAGGTGTGAGGAAATGCCTGTTTTTCCATCATGCAGGGCCACCTGAGCAGGGTCTTGAAAAGCTTCTGCAAATTTGCACAGGGCCAAATTAGCCATTGGTTAATGTCTTTTGAATTACTCAAGTCTCTGTTTAGTGGAGATCATTGTAGATACAGACAGATCACCACATGGACTCACAAGGATGCATCTTCCATGTGAACTATGGCTGGTGTGCCTGTGGGTGCCTTTGCACTCTGTCATGTGCCCTGGCCCACCCAGACCACATCTCCCTCCTGTCCATCTGTCCCACCTTGTAATAAGAACCCCATCTGCCCTGCAATAAAATGCCCCGGGCATGTTGTTGAGTGGGAAGTTACCAAGTGACAGTGACAGTGACACATTTATGCCTTTCTTTTTATTAATTGAACTGGTGCCTGCTTCCTGCCAAAAGCTCTGCTGAAATGCTATACTAATCATTTTATCTCATAAACAGAGTTCCTGTATCCACCACAGGCTTCACTCAACTTTGGCATCAGCTTCCAAGCACATTTACCAGTGTCACAGTGACAAAACCCAATGAGTGCCTCATGAAAATGGATCTGAGAGGAAACAGCCTTGTATCCTGTAAGGGATAAAAAGAAAAAGGTATTTCAAAAGATAAGGGACAGAACAGATCATGACCCTATGTACAATGCATTAATAACATCTGTCTTTCCTTCTTTATTTATTTTTTTTTCTTTTTGTTTTTCTTCAGATTTTAAAGACAAGAATAGAGTATACTACAGCATTTCTGGGAGAAAAGCCCAAGGGCTAGACACTTTTGTAATGTGGAACCAGCAAAAGAAAAGTGCTAATAGCTGTTTTAGACAAGCCACTGGTCATAGTTTTTTTAGCTTTCTGAGCCAAAAGCTCTTGCTGGTTCTGCCTGTAGCAGATGTGAAGCTAGCTCTGTGACACAGGTAAGAAATACTGGGTGAAGGCATACTAAACCAAACAGGAGTATCTTTGGGGTAGTGCTTCTCAGCATGTTACCCATACACTGAGCTGTACAGACAAAAATGATTCACACACTTTGAAATGCAGTGGAGTACATGAGTCAACAGGAGATTAACTGGCTGTTATTCCTTGGTATATTGTAAAGGAAAAATCTTGCTTGTATATGTAAATTCACAAACTCTCCAGAGTCCTTTCTGCATGAACTCCTGTGTGCCTTACATAGTGGCAAACACAGGTTGCTGCTTAAATGGATGGACAAAGGCATCGCATGTATACTTTTCCATGATTAAGCCTCTGTGGTTATATCCCCCTTTACCTACTGCCTGCCAAGCTGGGGGACTGAATTCCAGTCATGTAACAGATACATGCTCAGGTTTATAGAGTGCAAGCTTGTGAATAAGTCAATGCAACACTTGCTGCAGATGAAAATAGCAATTTCTTT